CGACCTCGAAGTCCCTAGGATCGATCCCCGGTTTCCTAAGACGTCCGACAGGATGCGCGAGTGTAGCGCATCGTCGTTCGAAGGCCGACTCGGCGATGACGACGATCTCCGGGGGTGGGGATAGGGGGGGAGGGGAGTGCGGTTGGAGGGAGGGTGGCAGAGAGCGGCACGACCGGCGTTTCGGAGGCACGTATCGGTAGTTGCGCGAGACGAGGCAGTCGGTGAGGGTTTTGCGGGCGTCTAGTGTGGCGCAGTGTGAACAATTTTTCGGTCGTCTCTCCTTCCCCCCCTTGTGTTCAAAAATGAGCTGGCAGGATTACGTTGATAAGCAGTTGCTCGCGTCTAGGTGTGTTACCAAAGCGGCGTCGCCGGACACGATGGCAACGTGTGGGCGAAATCCGAGGGCTTCGAAGTGAGTAGAGAGACAAAAAGGCAAAAAAAAACCTCGAAAAGAGATCCTCCTTCGAGAAACGCGCGCGCGAGAGCGAGAGAGAGAGAGCGAATGGGAAAGAGAGAGAGAGAGAGAAAGATAGGACGTACGTATGCGTGTGTGAAAGAGAGAGAAGAGAGTGACGGGGCGGATAAGAACGCAGGGAGAAGCGAGCACACGGCCGGTAGCCAGCACGCCCCCTCGATAAAAGGGAAAGTGCGCGGAGGAAAGAGAAGAGCCCTCCGATCATACGAGTCAAACGCGCTTTGTCGACGCGAAAGAGAGAGAGAGAGAGAGAGAGAAGGAGAGACGGATCTCCCTCGGCCGAACCTTCCTTCGCACTCGAACCGGTTCGGAACTTTCTAACCCCGAAAATATCCTACGTGCCACGTAGACGCGTCTGATTCGCCGGCCGGCCGGTCGACCATCGCGTCATCTCCGCGGAAGCCGACGACGACGACGACGACGGATATAGGGTCGCACGCTCTCTCGGGGGCGGCGGACATGTTTCGCTCTAACCGGCTAGCTCCCTCTCTCTCTCTCTCTTTCTCTTTCGCGGCTCTACGATCCCCGCGACGAGGTGCGCGACGAATCGATCGAGTCCGATGTCAAGTGCACGCGAGCGAGTGCCCGAGTCGGTGACGATCTCGCACCCGGGCTCGAGTGCTCGAGGATCGATGCACTTTATTATCTCGCGCGCACAGGGTGTGGCATGACATAGGTGTTCTGGAAAGAAAATTCCTCTTGTCGATTTCAGAGATTGTAGATTCGCTCCTGTACGCGTGGGAAAGAAGCACGAGGAACTCTCGGGAGGAGGGAACTCTCCTCGAGAGAGGTGGGCTTTTTTTTTGGGTTTATCGGTACCGTTCAGGGTTCTCGAGTTCCTCGAAATTTTTCGAGGGTTCTGAGTACTGAACTCTCTCTCTCTCTCTCTTTCTCGTGAAATCTATACAACGGCTTTTTCGGCGGCGACGCTTAACATGGCCGCCTTCTATCAGCGCGCCGGGCACGTTGCGCTGTCGCATCGTCGCCCGACGTGGAAATGGTGGTCCATTGTCTGCGATCACGACGGTCCTTAATCGACGCTCCGCCGGAGATCGCGTCGCGAGTTCGCGAGGACTTCCGGCGAGCGTCCGCTCCGCAGCCGATTTTTTAGGTTAGTCTGAGCGAGGAACTCGCGTAGGCGCGCGCGCGAGAGAGAGAGAGTGGGACGATCTTTTTCTCTCTCTTTCTCGCAAGCACCGACGTGCGTTTCGTCACGAGTAAAATTTTCGGAATATATCACGAATTATGTTTAATTATTAGTTATTATTGAATAAACGGGAACAGAACTCTTTAGAATGCAAATAAAATAATTTGATGTCTTTATTCTGCTCGAGAGCTAAAGAACACTTTAATCGGGATTTAATTAATCATATCTTGTCTGTCGTACGTATGTTTCATTTTGCATTACGTATACTTTGCCGGTTTGTAATAATAATAAGAGCCTGTGGAACGTGTGATAAAAGTTTATTATGAGTTTCTTAATCTGTTCTTGATAACAGCCAGAGTCGACATTCTTTCACAAAGAGACATATTTTTGCCTTCGAAAAAAATTATATACATGTACATACATTATAGATATTTTATTTTTAGATATATATATATTGTACTTGATTATATATTCAATTTTAATTGGCTGCGAAATAAAAAAACGTCTAGCTGTCAACATTTTTCCTGACTTTGAGAATAATTTTAATCTTAATTAAAATTGATGTATGTGTACGTATATTAATTAAGATTTTTGACATTTCTTAGATGTTGCACCTTTCACTCATTAACTTTCGATTATTCAATTAATAAAAATACTAATGTCGATCCTTCTGTTAAATATTGCAAATAAATATATTAAAATTACACCCAATTCAATTTTAGATTTATATCATAAATACAAATATTAATTTTATATGAATATTTTTTTTCTAGTAAATTGTTATCTTTTTATACATGTATATTATTTAGTGCAGTCATTATTTATACAACTTTTATCATTTTCCATTTCAAGAGACATTTTATGCAATTGCAATTTGAACGATTTCGTCCAAACAAATATTTTGTAGAAAAGTTCAGAGATCCTCTTGGAATGTCCCATCAAAGAAAACATAAATCTTTGATAGCTATAATTACGCGATGATGTTTCGCGCTTCTTCAATTCACGAGGCTAATAATATCGGTGATTACAGGAGAAACATGGCACATTACGAGAGGTCGTGCAAATCCGACGTGTCGAATCTGAAAGCACCGAAGAGGTCACTTTTCACGTGCGAAGTACACTTTTGCGTCATTTAGAACGTTTCTGAGAACGGCAACGTGTATATCTTTTTTGCTCGAATCTATTTCGTTGTCGCACAACGAGGTCGGTTCTTTAAAAGAAAGAGAAAAAAGAAGAAAAAAGTGTTTCTTCTTCGTGGTCTCTTCAAGAATCGCAGGAAAGCCGCGATTTTGTGATCGACGCGCCCTCCGCGTTGCACTTTTCGAAACTCGTCGCGAATCGCTGTCGGTAAACCTGTCAGTGAAACGTGATCGTTGCAAAATACTTCGGGACTCGCTTCTCGCGAATTGACATTGAAACCGGTTCGGATCTCTCGACTCGTATCGCCCCGACACGTGGAAGTGATTGTTGAATGTGACGGATAGGATTAAAGGGAGAGAGGATTAAGGGAATTTCTCTTTTGGCGACTTCAGAAAAGTGGTGAGAGGAAAAATCATTATTTTTTCATGTCATTTATTGACACCAGAATGTCATCAGAATGATTGCTTAAACCTGGAGAGATAAGAAAATATCTTATCGTCTGGATAAAGACTAATATGGAATAGTTGACAATTTCAAAATAAAGAGATGCCTTATTTTTTTCTAAATCTATTTCGAAACAAATTTCATTCAGAAACAATTCAGGAATAAGTATTTATTTCTTATAATTTTTGACAGTACGGTTAGATTTAATGCTTTATTACATTATAGCTTTGAAAAAAATTACATTAAAATCGTTAAAGAGTTATCTTGAAGTAATTCATTATAATTAATTTATTATAACTAATGTGCTATAATTACAACATATGTTGATGTGTTTTTTAGAAAAATTTTATATTTTTTCCAAATTAAAATAATACATTAAATATTATATATTAAATCTTCGAAAGAAATTTATTGCAAAGATTAAAGTTAATGAAATTTTCGTAGAAAGAATTTGAAAAGAAATTTGACATTTTTCAAATCTAAAAATACATATAAATATATATGTATTAAAAATGTATATAATATTTAATATCGGAATTGTATTCAACGAGACTTGAAAAACTTTGAAGTATGAATAAAAGAATTGAAGAATGTGTTCATGATTTTCAGTTATTTAATTACTTATAACTTTTATTCGCGATATTAAATTTTTTCAAATATCAATCTTTACAATAAATTTAGATCCAAAAATTTGAACTATTCAATTTTGAATGGAAAATCAAACTTTTCCAACACATGCTGTTTGATTGTAGTACTGTAAAATACATAAAAATAATAATTTTTCTGTATAATTAAAATATCAAATTTCTTAAAGTTATGAAATGAACATTTCAAAAGTCGCGAAAATGTATTCAGCACTAGAAAACACGTGTTTAGATTTTAAAAAAATGTGATTTTTTTCGAATTTTCTTTCAGAAGACTTGTGGAAAGATATTCTTTTCTTTATCTTGTTTTTCTTATCGAGAGATCTTCCTTTAGCTTTCTGATTACAATTAATTGATTTATGTATTTAATTGATTCTCCCCGAAACGATTAAATTGGCCAACATTAGAACTGATGAAAGAAAAGACGTGAGTCGCATTAAAAGCTCTAAAAGAAATTAAATCGAATTACTTATATAGGAAGACTATATTTAAAAACTACATTAACAATTATCTAATAGTTAAATTAGATTACAAACGAGAAGAGAATCTCAAGACTTTTATTGAAGAGTAGAGCATAACAGAGAGAGAGAGAGAAAAAAAGAGTGTATACACTGAAAAAAATGACTAAATTAATATATATTTAGTTCAATACTGCCAAATGAATAATTTATTTGAAATAAATAAATATTTATTTATTTTGAAACGGAAATTTTCTTATATAAATATTATTAGTTCAAATAAATGATTTATTTGGCAGTGTTGAAATAAATACTTATTCGAATTAAATAATTTTTTTTTCAAAGTGTGAGGAATTTTTGGCGGAAACAATCCGTCACAGAACGAGTAGATTAAATTAGGATAGGTTAGGAGTATGCGGTCACACATGGCTACTCGAAAGCGTCATGGCTAGACGAGAGAGATCGGAAGAGATAAGACCCGCCAGCTGCAGCTGCCTCGCGTGCACTTTCCGGTCGCAAAAATGGCGATGCCGGCCGGCCGGCGAAACCTCTCGCAGTGCCGTGTCGCGAAATCCGGTGCATCGAGAGCATCGATTTGGGACAAGGCCTTTGCCTGAGATGGGAAATAAATTAACGCTCCTTGTAGGACGCAAACGTCAAACGCGCGACGTGCTGAAGTCACTTCTTCGCGAAAAAATAAGAACGCTTTATTAACGAAGAAAAAATATTTACTTTATTATGCGCAGTATTTCCTTGCCTGTAATTTTGAAAAATTATATAGACAAATATATATTGAAAACAAAAATTATCAAATTAATAAATATTTTATTTCAATACTGCCTTATAAGTCATTTATTTGAAACAAATAAATTTTTATCTGTTTTGAAAATGGATTTTCTTATATCAACTAAATATTTTTCACATCAAATCAATATTATTAGTTTCAAATAAATGATTCATTTGGCAGTATTGAAATAAATACTTAATCGAATTCGATTATTTGTTTTCAATGTACATATATACGTCTCATTTATTTATTTATTACATCTTTAAAACATTTGAGGAATTTCGTAATTCTACCTGAAAGATAAAGTATATATTGTA